GAGAGAGAGAGAGAGAGAGAGAGAGAAAGAGAGAGAGAGAGAGAGAGAGAGAGAGAGATGAGGTTCAGGACTAAAACTCTCTACTTATACGTATAGATATTAATAGACTCATGTATAATGTTAATACTTCGTTTATATACGTTCAAACGCGCCACACGCGTTATTTCATATTGACACTCGAAAACACACACGACTGGAACTATCCCGCGCCCTTCTTTGATCTAAGGACAAACGACAACAGGGCTATTTCACACACAAGTCATTAGAAACGTAGGATTGCAATATACGAACTGCAATAGTCTGACGCAGCTGGGGTCTTTATCGACGGTGGCCAAATGCAATTTACGCTATAAGATACAAGTAGTTACGAACAAGGAGGAAGTGAAAAGGAAGAAGCGAGGGTAGGGTCGCGCAACGGCATACCGATTATCCCCACCTTCCGGGCGAAGAGCGTCCTACTGCTTCGCTTCTCTCGATGATCCTTGCTGTGCAAAAAGTTACCTTGCGCGCAACCCCCGCCGCAACGTAACGCGACTTTTTCTCTTTTGATTTAGTTTGCGTTTATTTTTTGTCTCGCGTTCATACGTGTATCGCGCGTTTTACTTTGACTCATCGCGTTGGATGGAGTTTTTTAAAGATTTTGTAGCATAATAAGATTTTACACGATATATCATTGAGAGGCTGTCTTTATCGAAATCGTCAGAGGAAGGTATCATGCGTCATATAGCCGGTCCATCGACGCGACCCGATACTTTCATCGATAATATTTAATAACACGTTAATACTAAATAATGATAATATTAATAAGAATTTACAACAATAAAGTAAAATACAGCTAATATTAACTGTTATAGTGATAGTGAGAAAACGGCATATGTCCGATGTCCGCGCGCGAAAATGAGTGTCAGATCATCGATTGACTGAATCTACTTCTCTCGTGTTCTTTTAAGTAATCGGGACTCGAGTCACGCCAATTGACCAGCTAGCAACGGATGTCCTCGGATAGTCTAAACGCGACGGAATGCAAATGGAACCGGCACGACCGTACGGGAGAAGCGGTTCGGCCCGCTCTTTCGCCCGGCCGCGCGATTCTGTTCCGCATTGACCGGCAGAGACACACCATCGATCACGCAATCAGTTTTACTTTTAACGACCACTCATTCCTGTGTGTATTTTATATATGAACGACGGGAGCGCTTTCGCGATCGTCTCTCGACGATATTTTAGATGACAAGTGGGTAATAGAGAACCGCGATAAGCGATGGACGGCATATAATTATTACTATTATTTGTATATTATAGATATGTGTATTACGTAGAAGAATGCGGTCGAATTTAGATACGCGAGGATGATGATGCCATTCGTGTATAGTGGAGTCGTAATATTTCGCCCCCTGTCCCGTTACCTGTCACTTCCCTTTCCTTCGCCCGCACCCCTCTCCCCCCTCCCCTCCTATCTACCTTTTATTCCTGCATCCGCGATTCCTTTGCTCTCTACTCCCTCGACGTTTTCTTTCTCTAGCGAAGAGGCACAGGTAATTTTTTGATCTCTGTTTTCCTTTGGTACTCGAAACGCTGTGCTGCCCAAGTATTTTATTGATACGAATTTTTCGGACGTTTAAGGAAAAAAAATTACCTTGCGTGTAATACAAAGTGTCTTTCATGCATCGAAAATCGACATTTGATGTATAACGGGAATTGAAGTTTTTCTACGATGCTGCGCAACGGCAGTTGAAACATATTCCACGAAGACACAAGATATATTACATTTAAGTAGCTTACTATATTATTGATAACGATTATGAATCACGTAAAGAAAACACGGTAAATGAAAAAAAGGAAGGAAGGATTGGTGGACGGATGCTGTTTTATACTTAGGACGGCGCAAATATGTTTTCACAATACCTGTGGTTACATTATTATGGATTATTATGTATGAATAAAAAAAAATAATATTAAACTAGATGAATGGTGAGAGAGAGAGAGAGAGAGAGAGAGAGAGAGAGAGAGAGAGAAAGAGAGAGAGAGAAACATTCGGACAAGACCATAACGTTGCAAGCACAGTAGGTAGACACCCAATACAGAGAGTAAGATTATTGTAAGAGGAATATTAATAATTATTATAATATGATGACTTTATCCTCGGCGCTATACATTTCATTGTCATTATTATATCACCATTTATTAACGATATACATACGAACAAATAAAATGTGTTTATAAATATAAAGCGAACTTGATGAAATTCTCGTTAAAAGCGTTTATTGCGATCCACCGTTCGATCTCTCTGCCGCGTCGCACTCGAGAAATATTGTCAGTGTGATTTGCGTTCGATATATATCGTGTATCGTCCGACGTATTCGAAATGAACATGCACATTCATTAAAGGAGTTAATCATTCTTTATTATCTAAACTTTGAAGACTTATATAACAGTGAAGAATAGAGAAATAACATTTTGGATCGTTGATCACTCCGAAGGAGATACGTTTCGCTCAACCTGCGTTACTACCCTAAGTGTATTTCTCGTCGTCAATTTTTCTCGTAATTTATATATCTTTTTTTTCTTTTTTTAATCGGATACCACGTATTTTATAAGGACGTTCTATTCTCGGCACAGAGATATGTTTAATATTGCTAAAATCTCGATAATACGATTGAAAGCCTTGATTTTCAACAAGAATGGGGCAAATCCATTACTTCGAATCTAAGTATAGATGAGAGCTCATTCGGCTTCTCTCGACACATTGTTAAATACGTTGCTTTGTTTTGATAAAAGTATCGCAATTTCTTTTTCTTTTTTACGTCTACATTCACGACAATTGAGGCTCAATTTTACTCCACCATTTCAGTGTCGTTAAATCGAATCGTTTACTTCTAATTTTTCTTAGTGGATATCCTAGAATTCCTTTAGTCAGAGTCAGGACAAAGTATGATAATTTATAAGTATAACGATGGTCTATATCCTGTCCGCCATTTTTACGGATGATGTGAGTGAGTGAGAGAGAAAACCTTAATAGGAATGAGAGAGAAGCTCTAAGATCGAAATAACGAAGCACGCTAAAGCTTCTCATTCACTCACTACCTTCCTACAAATGACGAACGATATCTTGACTCTGACTTGAGGAATTCCAGGTATGTCTAATTATAAGAAGCATATCAATGATCTGATCGATTAGGCCGGATGTGTGATTGGTAAAGAAACGACAGTAATGTTGATTCTAACCATTTACAATGGCACATAATAGACGTCACCATGTATTCGTATCTAATACGTTACCCCATAAAAAAACGTCCTATATGACGTACTAATGAAATGAACAGCAATCGTGGCGAGGTACACGGTGAAAGTTGCTTTTCCGCCGGCGATGTGTATTGCTTCTTATTCCCGTACCTCGCTGCGAGTTGCCAAAATCAGAATACCGTATTGTGTATTTTCCTTTCAGCCAATTGTTTTATCGAATTCACAATCCAAACATCATCTATTATAATCTATGCCGACTGTAGAACTCGTCGCAATTAACGAGGTTTTAAGTTAAGAACAAACTATTGTTGCTTTATCCCCGATATCATAACTATGAATTCGAATCTCAATTTTAGATTTTGTTTATGCGTTATTTAAGAGAGAGATATATATGTATATAATAGATTTTTTTCTTGTCAGAGAGTGTCAACAACAAACGTGAAAAACGAATGACAGCCTAATTTGTGTCAGCGAAGATCACTTCTAGAGCATATCGTATCCTCGTATCGTTCGTTTTATTTTGTAACCGGCTGAGCGCCGAGCACAGAGCGACACGCTTTCGCGCGTGTCCTCGGAATCTGAATGTCACTTCGAACAAGAAGTATCGTATATCTCATGTCGCGCTAGATTGATTCTGCATTTTTAAAAGAATAATTCAAGTACGCGCGCAGATCGAATCACCATCGGCGACTCGTCGTGCGGGAACGACGCTCGAATTGGTCAACGAGTTGAACTTTTACATCGATACACTCGCGTACAACATCGCTACAAAAATAATTCTTTTTCTCCTCCAGCTCCTCCTAATTCTCTCTTTTTCATCGCTCGATCCTGCACGAGAAGTCACTGCGTGAGGAAATAACTTGTAGACTTTTAGTTAGAAAAATAATACTTCGCCTCAGTAATCCCCTCTGTCCAAAGGACTTACTTCGAACGGTGTCCATTCACAATGTCGGTCTGATAAGACTCACTCGAACACGCTCACGCTACATCCCGTAACAATGCCGACACGTCGAGAGGAAGTCGTGTATCCAAGGATTACAAATCAGCATTTCAGGATCGTGGCTGTTTTCAGAAAGGACAGACAAGATGGGGGAGCTATCGCGTGGCTGCGCCAAGAGACGGCGGAGTGCGCTCAAAAAGCTGTACTGGCCGTGGTTGTGATCGTCAGCTGCACGCCGGACTCTGAATTCGGTCGTCCGGCGTGTGGTTACAGCTACGTGGACGCGGCTAAGCTGATGGACGTCGACTCGGTGACGGCCGAGCGCGGCTTCACGTCCAGGGAATCGTACAGCGGGAACTCGCAGCACAGGATAAACTTGAGAAATCGCGGCACCTCCACGTAGATGGACGGCGGTATCGGTATCAACGGAGACGTGGATTGCTTGTAATAGCGATACTCCGCGTTGCTGAAAAGAAGATACCGATAGAATTTGTGTGTGAAAATTTGTCGAATGTCTACGATACACACACAGTCGGTGTGTATTGTGGATGTTCGAAAAATTCTCATGATTCGCATCTCACGGGCGCGAGCTCCCTTATTTGAGACTAATGAGATTCCTCGAGATATACTCACTCCCGGTATCTCTCGTCCGACGCTTTTTCCAACAACGGCATGCCCGACAGGAATAATATAATGAACGTAGTGAAAATCGGCGAAGCGATAGCCACCCATTCCGCACCCTCGATCACGTTCAAGGATATCACGAAAATGCCCCACCAGACCACGATCTCACCGAAGTAATTTGGGTGCCGCGACAGTCTCCAGAGTCCTGGGAATGTTGGAGGAAACGCGTGAGTGGTATATACGGTAGAGTATTGATTAATTAATTAACGAAAGCGATTTTCTCCCTACCGTCGTTGCACCATTTCCCGTTGTTCACCGGGTCCTGCTTGAAAGCGAACTTCTGCAGATCGGCGTAAGTCTCGGCTAAGAAGCCGACCACGAAGAGCCCGGTGCCGGCGCTGTCCAACGTCGTCATGGTCTTCGGCGCGGGTGGTATTTTGTGACGTGGGGAATTAATAATTATCACAGGCAGACTGACGACGTACACCCACACAGCCTGCGAAACCATCGAGACGTTTCCTTCGGTGTCGCTCTCGTAGGAGAAAATCAGCCAGTAAATTATTGTCACGAATTACTTATCAGACTCGCGTTTTGCAGATCGTCTCACCTGGAACGTCCAAAACACGGCAAAGCGGATGACGTTGCTGCGACGATCGTCGAATCTCTTGTCGCGACCAATCTTGATGATTCTGTACAGGAGGTATCCGGACAGCCGCACGCCCCACATGCACACGAACAGAGTCACCATGACTTGCCGGCTGTCGTACGTCTACGTGAGAGAGGAAGGATCTGAGGTATCAGTACTGATGAGTATACACAAGAGCTCTCAACACATTGGACGCCGTCATGATCAATACTACAATGCCGCGAGATCTCATTAAAGCTCGTGGCCTCTCGCTGCGGCTATCTTGACTTGTGACGTCAGAAGAAAATGCATGCTCAAAATTCCTGCAAAGTATGTCTAAATAAAAGGATATATCCGAAAAAAGGACATTTGCAATTGACTAAGCACACCTTTAAGATATTCAAAAGAGACATTTACAATCAATGAAGCACTCCGCGAACACTTTTTTTTGCTCCAACAGTCAACAAATGACCGATTACAAGTATCATTTTTCGGATATATCTTTTTATTTTGACGTACTTTATAGGAATTTTGAGCATGCATTTTCCCTCGCTTCTGTCTGACATCATGAGTCGAGATTTATGCGCCAAAAGACCAAGAATCTTACCTACCTATAATTAATTGCATATAAAAAATGCTTTGCATGGAAAAGACAGTGAAGCGAAATGGAAGATATATTCGCGCTTCTAATTACATTAATTTTACTGTATCCTCAAGCAGCCGATTACTGGTTGAGTTTTTATAATTAGTAGAGATCAACAAAGCGATGAAGAGAGCGAGTATTAAGAGAGCAGCGCGTGGGATAAAACGAGCGTCCCGTCCATTCATGGAAATTAAATGCGATCCTGCCGTCTTATTTATAATTCTCCTCACAGCTCCTTCGCGATCCGTAAATAAAGTCCCATGCAATCGATCCACTTGATCCTCTCGAGATTTTATCTATAGACACTATATTATGTGCAGGCACACGTGTGTCACACGTGCGCGGATGAGAGGAGCTGGTTATAATATTAGAGTACCTTGCCCACTTGACCGAGAAAGAAAGTGAGGAGGGCGAGGATGATGAAGTTGGTGCCGCCTGCGAAGTCCGTCAATTTGTCCAGCTGGAAGGTGGCGGCGATCGTGAAGAAGATCAGCTGCATACCGACCGTAACGATCGCGCTCACGGCGAGGTGATCCTCGTCCAGAATATCGACCGCCATGATCGCGCCCCGCGAACGATGTCAATCCTCTCGGGACGACGAATTAGCTCTGAAACGCGTTTGTGTCGTGATTAGACAGGATCTCTCCATGAAGTTTGGAGCGAATCCAGATAGCACAGAGAATTCGAAAAGAATTCAGTCGTATGTCAAATTCTGAGTTCATTTTTAGATGCAAAAAGAATTCTTGTCACTGAACTGAACTCTGAAGAATTCTTTTTGCATCTGAAAATAAACTCAGAATTGATGGCATACGACTGAATTCTTTTTTTATTCTTTTTTAATTCTCTGTGCTATCTGGGAAGCCTCCACACTGTACAGTTCCTCTGTCAGAATGTTTAACGCGAGTTTGAAATGAATTGAAAATTCTCAATGCATTCTTAATTTATTCCAAGTTACCATCTCAAACTTTGAATTAATAGAGACTCCACAGTAAGTTTGAATGAAATATTCGCTCTTGTAATTCTCTGAATGGCAGTGCCCCCCGCCGCGACCCGCTCGAGTGGGATTTCTCTCTGAGAAACTTCAGCGATACGTTCAGAAGTAACAACTATTTTGCGAAGCAGTGGGAAATCCAGATGAAAACGCCACTGTTTCCTCACTGTTTTTTGCGTAAATCACGCGCGAGAATGTCGATGCCGGGGAGGCGTAACAAACGTGATCGATATGATTCCGTCTGCCGCCGAATTACTCTCGGTTGATCGCTCCGGGAATAAATAACAGCTGTATAAACACGTAGTTATATTGTACTTGTACTTCCGCATTGCGGAGAATGATGCACACGGATGCATCGACGATGCGGCCGTGTTTTATGCAAGAACTCCCGCGCTTCTCGTTTGATTCCGTCTATCGATGTACCTCGCGATCGATTTTACCGTAATGACGATTCCGACCGATCGCGGGGTTACGTAATATCGACGAGGGAGACGAATATCGCGATCTCCGACATAGAGAGTGCGACTCGGTGACCCGGTGCAACTCTTGGCAGCGAGATTTTGTATAATTTGAGAACGGTCCGGAGAGCGTGAGCGGTTTACAAATTTCAAATTACCTCGGCGGCTGCCATTTCTTGCGAAACGATTCAGGATATATATCAGCGTAAGAGTATGCGAGCGCGCGTAATCTTACTTTAGTCACTGGAAAGCTTAACGTTTATGTCCCGGGGAGTAAGTAAACGAGCTCTTCGCGGCAATAATCACCGGCGTAAAATAAAACCCTGCCGAACACTCTGCGGCCCTTAACAATTCCACATTATCGACGTTGCGTAACGCGACGATTAATCTCGGTCGTATACACTTGCTCGCGATACATTTGAGAAAGGCAGAGGTGACGAATTCGCGATCTCGACGTCTCGTCCGAGTATACATGAATCTCTGGAATTTTTGCAGATTACACATCGCACAGTTTCATTCATGACACAACGTTAAGGAACAATCGAAAGTGTCGGAGTCTCACGAGCCTGCTCGAGATCGTCGCCTGTTCGTCTGCGTACTTCCACTGTTTCGAGAGCGCGAATGTGACTGAGCTCGCGCGAAGGGCAAGGGAAGAAAAGAAGAAGAAAAGCGGCAGGGGAAGCCTTTACCTCTCTCGGGGAGAACCGCATGTCCTTGGGCGCGCGTCGTCTCGCCCCGACGACGATCACGTCTCGCTTCGCGAAAGCAGGAGGAGGGAAGGAAGGAAGGAGAGAGAGAGAGAGAGAGAAGTTGAGAACACGCGCGCGAAGTCGTCTGCGTGCACAGGAGCAAGACCGCGAATCCGACACGAGCGCGCACTCCCGCACGGGATCACGTGTGCGAGTCGAGTCCGCCGCGGCTCCTCCGCGGATGCTCGCACCCCCGCGCTCTGCTGCCCGTCGACGGCGTAGCCAGCGCGAGATGTGCTGGTGCTGCTGCACCTCCTCCGCCCTTTCGTTCTCCCTCCGATCGCTGCGGAATCGCCCCCGCGCAGTTCCCCCCTTCATCACGATGCGCGCACACGCTCGCTGAGTTGTTCCTCCTCCTTCTCCTCCTTCTCCTCTTTCTCCTCATGCTACTCGGTGAAACGTCAGGCAGGAAGGCCGACTTTGACATCGTCCTGGGGACATCTCCGAACTCTGAACCGCGCATGTTGAATGAACTTACACGCTTCTCAGTTCGTCGGATGTTCTAATTTAATTGATAATTAATTAACACAACTGGGATCAGGTATATTATATTGTGTTAATTATATATCGGATCATGTGCAGATCGATATTTCTCTCCTAACACGAGTCATATTTATTTCGCCCTGATTCGCGTTATCCATTCCTTCCTTCTCTTATTTCCTCTCCTTCGTCTTCTCCGTCTGCCCTTATTTCTCCTCCCATGTTTGATCTATCCACTCCCCCTTCTTGCACGACATTTCCTCCCACTCTCGCACAATACTCGATATAGGAACACTCATGGTTTTTATATAAACCTCGATGCTATTTGTTTGATATGTGTTTATCATACTGTATCCTTTTGTTACGATTATCTCGGGTAATTCGTCCCGTGTTATTTCGTTCGGGGATGTCGCATTGAAATTCAGTCCATCCTTCAGTCGGGAATCAATATTACGTGCGCCGGCGCCTCACCTCTCGGAGATACTCGGTTAAAGAGATACAGTATAAAAGCTTCTCATGAACACAAAAGCACCGCAGATTTTCGTGATTCACAATCTTCCAATAAAAGCTGTAAGCCTCATATGTAAAACGAACAATGAATGCTTTGTCAAGAGAGCTTACATTAAATCGCCGTAACAATATTACTTATAAGATTTTATTTTCTATAATATTATATAGACATAGTTAATTTAATTACTTTAATCTTAATTACTCATTAGTGGATTATCGTACTTTGTGCTTTGTAAAGTCACTATTTCACGTATCGTGATCAAATAAAGATGCTTGATTAAAATGGATGAATTTATCAATATGAGAACTTGTACTAGTAGTCGAATTTTTTTTATCTTTAAAGAATTTATTTAATTTTCTCGATTCAAAAAGAGAACAGATCATCTAATTTTCAAAAATGTAATTAGAATTTCTTTCATCATATTTGCAAAATTGAAACTTTACATATAACTCCAGATATTGTACATATACATGCTATTAGTTGTTTCAAAAATTATGACGACTTGCAACTGTAATTTGATTATATTTAACGTAAGAAAACTAATAAGAAGGTGATAAATCTTGCTATGAGAGAAGGGAAGGACAATAGAATGAATCACAATTATGTTTACAGGATAAAAATAAGTTATATATTTACTTTAACGAGACCACACACATACACTCATAACAGTAATATTACAAATTATAGCAGGTTTACAAAAGTCAATCAGACTTTTAATAATATTTCTCTTCCAAGTAGTAATAGTAAAATGCCATGTTCTATGGTCTATCTTAAATATTCATTATCATTAGCCACTACTCTCTGCCATCTTTTAGGTAATTGTTTGTAACATGATCCATTCTTGGAGCTGATAAAATCATTGATGATCAGACAAACTTCTGCAAGCCTCTACTAAAATTAAATACTTTCACATTTGTTCATACAATACACATAAACATGGAATTATTAAAAAAGAATATTTTCCTTTACAAATCTATTACTCGATAACTTCAGTATATTTCTATCATGCAATGATATCTGTATAACGCTCTGTAATGATTTTTATGGTAGTTTTCGCAATAATATACATCCACATGTGCTCAATAACGTTTACACACATTTTAAGATACGTGTATTAAATCATATCGCACATATTCAATTGTTTTAATCTTGACGCATTGATTCATTTTGCAGTCACATCACCCACTGTCTCCTGGTCTCTCTGGCTCTGCTCTGAATATCACGTCAGGTTTTAGTTTCGAGTATACTTGCCCCAAATATGAAGCATAAACACAGATGCGATGAATAAAAGGGACATGACTAGTACTGGCACGGGACCTCTGCAATTGCAACATATAACATAATATATGATTAAGTGTATATAGATTACAATTAAATCTTGAAGAATTTATGGGTTCTGTTGTTATTTATAACAAGATCAACTCGCATAGAAAATCAATCTTCCTATCTCCTACTGACACATATGGAGGATGCATTGATGCACCATATGAAATTTCACTCACACTTTGATGCCTGGTGAATCGTCTGTGTAGAATTTCCACATGCCACCCGAGCTCGTGCCTGTACTTCGGTTTCTCGTTGAACTGTTCGCCGATACGGTTTTTCTCTGTCTAACGGCACCACTACCACCTGTTCTCGGTGCTAACGCTTTGCTGGGCGAACGTCCAACGGAGCCAACAGAGGCGGCACTAGGTGCGGCAGGCTGTTTTCACGAGAAAAGAGAAATTAATAAACAGCAAAAATTAATGAACAATAATTTTCGGAGATGACGTGCGTTCTCGGTGAAGCAAATCGTCAAATAACTGTCAAATGTTTTTCACATGAGTTACGCTCACCATGGCTTAGAAGCGTTCTCGTTGCTCTGGTCGCAAAATAACAAATCCTAGGAAGATTCTTCCGTCCAGTGAAAGCCGTGCGTTCCACGGGTTATTGGGAAGTGTACCAAGTGTCTTTCAACGGCGTTTGTTCTGATTTAAAAAAGATGCACTTGTTACAGATACGGAGATATTTAGTGGACAACTCGACACAGCTACGACACGAAGAACGAAACTCTTTATGAGACGATTCGAACGCACACTGGCGGTACGCCACGGAGAGTATGGAGCAACGTGTCATGTGTGTGTATCCACGTGGTATGCGGCGAACACGTCATCGTTGGCAGCCACGTTGACGTTACAATTTGTGATCATTCGCTGAGACTGAACCGAACGTTTCGATTTTTTATCATATTTCGTAATATTTGACAAAAATGAACGATATCGATTGTAACTCGAGTCGTATGATCATTTATAATGGGTCTGAGAACTTATGCAGGATTCACACCGCGTCCGATGTCCGACGTACAACGTCCGATATCCAATAAAAGAATAGCTTTCCAATGGAGAATTGAATTCTATATTAGAAAGTTGTTTTCCTATTGGATATCGGACGCGATGTGAATCCTGCATAACTTATGTTGGCGCTGCCATTTAGTGGGCACAAGTCACGTGCACCAATAACGCGGAATCCCCGAATGTCTAGTCTCTATTCAAGGATCTCTAGATCGACGTGTACAGTGGCGGCTCGTAGCGGAGACTATGGAACTAAACTCGGCAGAAATAACGGATCTAATAAAACCTTAGACCCCTTATTTCTGCAAAATTACTTCCGAAGCTTCCACTACGAGCCGCCACTGTACATATTACTAATATAAAAAAAAATATATATATGTGTGTGTGATTAATACATCATTTATGAATTTATTTAATAAATGAATTAATGAACTGGATAATGTATAAATTAATCAATTAACATTAATATGATATATCTTAAAGCGCTAAGTAGATAAAGCCGACATGGCAAGATACATTTGACGCCAGGTAAATGAAAGACCTGTTTTGACATTGGCTGCGTTCAGAAAACATAGCTGATCAGTGAGCGGTCAGTGATTATTGGTCCTTACTGTTAGATCCTTAACTGTTAGACCAATTACGTTGACTAATTACTCAACAGTTGTGTCTTCTGAACGCATCCATTGAAAACTTGTGTATATACTTGCGGAACTTAAAAAAAGCAAATATACAATTAAGACTTGGACTTTGGAAAAAAGAAAAGAAGAGAATTAGTACAAGTTAGTGCAATCAGTTCAGCAATAAAAAACGAAGTCAAAGTTAATACATCAAGATACATTTGCCATAGAGGTTATCAGTAACATTTGACAACAAAAATGCAGTCCAATGATGACTTGTCCGAAGATGAAGAAGAAATACTTGTGTATGTGGAATTCGAGGACCTTATTGGCAGTAATACATTTTGTAATCAGGATCTTCAATTGGATATGATAGGAATAGATACGGAGCATCCAGTAATGCAAATTAACGGACGGGTATATTGTGTATATAAAAGAGGATGATACTTGCTCGTTATAGAAGTAACGCAAGGGACATAAGTTGTAGTTTACTGATTTTTTCTTAATCGTTTTGTATTTTTAGTTTTACGAGGGTACTTACAAGGATGCCATGGGCACGTACATGTTCTTTGAAAAGGACGACGATCCACATGTGGATGATGTTATATTTGATAAAATACCAACTCTAAAGTACTCTGCCAAAACTAGAAAAGTTTTAAAGATGCAACGAGTCTTTACAAAACCTAGAGCTGAAGTTTTTGGTAACTCTGAAATCAACAGTTGTATTCCAAATGTTGACACATTGTCCCAAGCTGGGGTGCCACCAAAGTATCAAGAAGAAGGTATGGAAATTTACTTGTTTGTCTATGCAAGCAAATTAAGCTTAATTTTATATATTGCAGCTCTCCAATTTTGGAATATACTACGTGACGACAAACTAGCAGAATTACGTTTATGTTTGGAGAAACAAAAAATTACAGATGAAGAGATGTCCAAGGATACTATGCCAGATTCGGAATTTGAAGAAAACGCATGTCCTGGGACATCTGGAAATAAGGAAAATCAGAAAATACATAAATAGGATAAAATTTTATTTATTTGAAACAGTAAGCAATTCCTTTAATCACTAATATCCTTATCATTAATCACCTTCAAATTTTTATGCTAATCCATGCTAATCCTAATAAGCTTGTTGTAAAGTAAAAATCATCAAAAGAAATTGCACTATCTTAACTCTTAATAATTCTATAATTCTTATGACATAAATATACTATAGGATATTTTTATTCTATTCTGATCAAATCAGATTTCAACTTGTTATTATATTTTCTCTCTTTCCATACAGTATGAAAAATAAAATATTTATTTAATAATTGTTATTCAATCTAAGCAGTGATTTCCTTTCTATCTTATCTTATTTTTCTATTCTACCAATGTTCTAGACATTGCTCAAGTAAAGATAGCTTATATATTTGTACTACAAATATTTGTATTGCATGCAAAACAGCTGAGTTTCTAGCTGTTTCAATCACATATCCACCTTTTAATTTGGAAATCAACAAATCATAAACTGAATTGAAAAAACGACGAAACAAATAGAAAAGATAGTGGACGAATTGATCATATTTTTAGTTGTTATTAGTATTTATGTCACACAGCATTGAGGAACCTGTACTCCTTTTAGTTAATATATGTATATATATACACACACATTAATATATAACTACGTTAAAAATTCACGTTGTCCCGTATGTGTGTGTGTACAAAATAATATATAATTATAAAATACTGCACTGATTCAAGTATAATCTGTTTATACAAGACAGTATTAACTTGTCTAACTTTCTATACTTATGTTTTACACGCACGTAACATATAGCACTTTGTGAGATTCTTTGTGAGGAAACATTAACATAATCCTTGTCTGCTCGTCAGTATCTAAGTTGTGTTTGTTTATTTGTAGAATCGTAATCACATGTCGTGCCTTCACCAGTCGAGATCACTCGGAAACTCGTCTGGGTAGTCTCCAGTCAAACAGGCGGTACAGTGGCCGACGTACTTGCTCTCGCGATTGTCCATGCGATACCTGACCGCTTCAACGAGTCCCTCCACGGAAAGGTACGTCAAACTGTCCGCGCCTACGTGTTTAGCCAGTTTCACGTTATCCAACTTATTCGCGATTAGTTCTTCTCTGGTTGGGATATTGATGCCCATGTAACACGGATACTTGAGCGGTGGGGATGCTATTCTCACGTGAACCTATAAACGCGATTATCATAATGAATAGAACAACGTTACTTCATTTAAACTCTCAAAATTTTTTCTTTAAATTTTTTTAAGTCTACCAAATAAAATGTCAAGCGTACTTGTAAAATATTCCGAAAACTATCCTTTTCCCTCGACAACCAGTAAATACCCGTAAAATTAATGCGACATGCAGCCTTTCTCTTTAACTTTTCTCATGATTTCGCCACATTTATTTCACGATTATTTATTAACTATAATAGCAAAAAATAGTTTCTGAGACATTTTACAAGTATGCCCAAGCGATCTAAAGTCTGGCATGGCCGCGAGAAATACTCGCGAGGAACTTTAAGCATATATTTAAGAACAAAAGTATACGACGACGACGTTAAAGCGAGGAGCTCACCTCCTTGGCGCCTGCGTCGCGCAGTAACTTGATGATTGGGCCGATTGTATTCCCTCTGACGATGGAATCGTCGACGAGAATGATCTTCTTTCCTTTTACATTCTCCGACAAAGCCCCGAACTTTTTGGCTACGCCGAGCTGGCGTAGCCGTGTACTCGGTTGTATGAACGTTCGTCCAACATATCTGTTCTTGCAAAGCACCTCCGCGAAATTGATCTTCGACTGCAACGTAAAGAAAGCTTTATCAAGTTGCGTAAACTACACACGTAAATTGTTTGCTCGTCCCTTTACGCCCACTAAGTGTTTAAGTTCCAAATGTAGTTATTATTTACTTGTCTGGCGTAACCATGCGCCGCCGCGGTTCCCGATTCAGGTACAGAGCTCACTATGTCTGCTTCTACCGGTGATTCCATTGCTAGTACTCGTCCACATTGCATACGCACAGAATATACCATTTGTCCTAGTGTACAACATTTTGCTGAATATCTCTGTTCGTCATTTTTTTATGTTTGTGTGGATTATAATATATTTACCTTCGAAGATACTGTCGCTTCTCGCGAAGTAAACATACTCGAATATGCAAAACGCTTGCGGTCTTTTGTTCGGCCTTTCTACTATGTCGATGGTCTTGATACCCTCTCGAGTTAGTTCTACTATCTCACCAGGGAACACTTCGCGTACGTATCTCGCGCCTATACTTAAGAATCCGCATGATTCCGACGAAATTACCCAGCCTTCAGCTTCGTCGTCGTCGTCGGATTCGTTACTCGCTGTGATTTGAAATGGCGAATATAATAATAGAGAGGAAATAAGTCAAAACAAAACACAATAGTACAAAGTGCACACACAAATCCATACACATATATAAATATATGTATGTGTGTATAATGCAATGTATCATAAACCAAGACAATAAGTTTAGTAATTTGATACGCACCTAAATTGCCAATAGGTACAATTTTTCCTAAACAGAGAGGTCGATTTCCATAAGGATCTCGTACGCCATAAATTTTGTCCCTTTGCATTATAACCAGGGAATATGATAACGGTGCCAATTGCATAAGATGCTTGATACGCGCCGGCCACTCTGGTCCATTGACTTCAGCTTCCGGTGGATTCAAGCAAAGCGCTTGTGTTATTAATTCGGAATCCGAGTGCGTCGACAAACCGACTCCTCGACCTAGTACCTGAACATACGTATGAGATCAGAATTGCGTGCACCGGCCGCGATGGTCGAAGTGGTCAAAGTAAACAGCGCGAACATCGAGATAATTAAGGAGATGACCGACAAAAAGAAACAAATTTTCTTATTTCATATTACCATTTTTCTGACGGATTCTGTATTGACTAGCTCACCATTGTGAGCCACTGCCAACGCACCATGCGCAGTGTGAACCACAAATGGTTGACAGTTGACCTCTTCGCTAGCTGCGCTCGTACTGTATCTGGTATGGCCAATTCCGAGATTCCCTTTGAGCTTTTTCATATTTTCATCGTTGAAGATATTATTAATCATTCCCATACCCTTGTGGACGTGAAATGACTTTGAACAGACTCCCTCGCTTGTTACGATGCCTCCGCTCTCTTGTCCTCGGTGTTGCAAGGCCACAAGTCCTACGATTTGATTCTTATTTAATTTTCCAAATACTTTTTTATCTTATACTGTATATCTTAATATCTTTCTTTGTTACATTTTCTATTTACTTTCTCTACTTATGTTGATTTCTTCCTCTCTTCTTTTACGTTTCTTTTTGATAATATTTCAAGTGATTTATATCAGATAAAATGGATATAAATTTAGTTACCTAAACAAATAACTTGGCCTACATTGATTTGCGATGGCCAGTCCCCCGCAGCGATACATCCAAAAACACCACATTCGTGGCTAAGACCGGTGAGCCTTTGCCCTCTGCTCTCACCTTTGCTACGTGGCCTTGTACATTTTGAGGTTTTCACCGATAGGCGAGACATTGCTTCGGTGCATTGTTTGGTATCTTTATCGTGATATATTTCCATGGTGCAATCTATAATAAATAAATTCAACAATGTTAGCTCTTTTGTTTGTTTCCTCCAGCAAATCTTATGAGAAACGATTAAACATGAGCGTCACCAAATTGTGAGGTCAACAAAGGATCATAAGTACACATTACTATCACAATTCAGTTGACTTATTATTATCAGTATTTTTCAAACTTGATAGTTGAATATTTTTTGATAAGCAACAATGTGACTTATTTAATGAAGTTGTTTCTTTTGAAATTTCATAGATACTAGCATCAATGGAAAAATCTGTGTTATATTCAAAATCTATAAAAATTTTGCAAGATAAATCTGAATTAGATGTTGTACATTCAATTGAGACACTTCTAATAGATCCTTTCGTAACTACTATCTCTACACATTATCTGTAATGCCCCTATAAACTATTGACCCCCCAGCAAGCTGATAGAATTGACACATCTTTCATTTGTTGAATATTACTAAACTATGTTTTCTCATCGTGTTTGCTCAATCTGGATTTCGCAACTGATTTCATCATCTTATGCTGTGTTGACATCACGGATATCGGAATATACAGAGCAGTTGTATTTGTGTTTATAGCAAATTAATCTCTCTGCGTCATATAAGAAATCGCAAAATAATATTTTCCATATTTTTCGATAGATCAAATTTTTCCATTTGCAAAAACTACCAATTGCTATATAGATGTATATGTAACACTATTTTATTCTTGTAAATTTGTATCATACGTGAACGTATTATAATATGTATTAATTATAATACGTATTCATTTTCTACACTTGAAAAAGATATTAATAAAACCATACAGAATCGAGAAACTGCTTGTCGGTAAAACACAAAAGGACAAATATCGTCCTTAAATTAAATTGTCATTTAAATAAGACCTTTCTTCTGGTGAAATTAAGCACACTAACAAATAGCAAAAGTATGTCACTACGATATAGTATCTTACATTAATAACTGGTGAGTTTTTTTGTATATGTGCTCTATAAAGCTGAATAAATTACCGGGTGACCTCCAACAGTACAGTAACAGGCATTAGTTCCAGTCTATTCACGTGCAATTGATATTCACACACATTCAGTCATGGTTAAAATTTCCAGTGATACTTGAGAATCTTTCCACGTTCTTACAATTTAGCATAATTGATTTAGCATTTGGGCCGTTTAATTTTACTAAAAAGAAAAAAGCAAAGAAAGAACTAAGAAAATCTGCAAAATGTACCTCATGCACTTATGAAGAGACAATGCGCGTCATTGTAGGAGTGTGTGAATAAGTCGCAGGTGGAATTGACAAGAACAATCGACAAGAAAAAAAAGAGAAATCGAGAAAAGCATTGTTATTAAGGAAGCACTTACTCATATGTGTGTATCCCGTGTGAAGCGTTCGGCGTCTGTTCAGTGTCTTCTCAAGTCGAATAAACGTCTGTCCGTAACAAAACGTGCTTCGCTGTGCGTTCCAAAGCTCGAATGGTGCGAACGGCGACGCGAGCCAATGACGAACAACTGCCTTTGCCCGGAGGGGCTGCTGCTCGACCTATTATCTCTTGCTTCTTCCTGTAAAAAGGGGAGTAGGTAGGTGGAAGAGCGGGTATACTCGCAGAAAGACGACCTGCAAAAGAATGCCTATCTGAGACGAGGAAAAAGAATCCTTCACGCTCGATTATCATGCGATCGTCATTGTTATTGTAAACTGAGTGTGTGCACGCGTATGTAACAAATATGAAAATTATGCAAGAGCATAAATTACTAAATAGTATTTTGCGTCGTGAGCGACTTCCAAAACTAACTTTTCACGTTGCGATAATGCGAAAGTATCATCGTCGCATCTCCGAATGAATTATTCGATTTGGCAATACATGCGAATAGTATGGAGCTCACGTGTTATCTGGTCGTTATTTAAATCCACAGCAAATCCCGTGCACGGTGGACCTCTCAGTAATCTCACTTTATGTTCCAGACGAAGCAGTGGCAATAACGACGATAGAGTTCTAATCTTCAATGTAATTGACGAGAAAATGTGTTTACCCCACGGCCAGTATTTTTCCGTATCTATAGAAATCACGAATGATATCTTAAAGACATTAAACTATGTATTTACAAAAGAGTTGTATCTTAAAATAATCTACAGTAAAGAAGTGTCAATACCAAAAAAATTTCATCATGACATTTTTATCATATCGACGTTTTGTTTAAAAAGTTATTTATACATAAAATCTATAAGTACAGTAAATACAATAGCTTTGCTTTTCTCTTTAATTTTAAGGATAGCAATAGTTTTAACAATATTTCTTATTTTTATTGTATAATCAGCAACCCTTCATTATTAAATTACTTTTCATATATAATTAAATTACTTTTAAATTACTATTAAATTACTATTAAATTACTTTTCATATATATCTATAAATGTTGCTTCATATGTTTGTATATGAATGTATATAAAATTTTCAGTGATCTTCCCCTTCCCTCCACTCCATACATTTGAAGTGTTCCGGATTTTGGAATGAGAAACTTTTTACCTGAATCTAAACTATTTTACATACCTGATCAGAATGTATCTGTACGGTATTCTTGTCGTAGATGACTTCGGATCTTCGGGAAAACAGCTATTTGCGTATCGAAAGCCGTAGCAAGCCGAAGAGCGCAGGATTCGAAGAAAACAAAGTCCTGAAACAGATGTCGTGTAAACTTTCTCTTCCAATGAGGCGCATGATCTTTTACTCGAACATTTTCTGCTTTCTTGCGCGATTTTCTCAACTCCTCTTTATTATATCTTCTAGATACCTGGGTGTATCTGTGTTTCGAGAACAAAAAGCGTGACACGGCCGATTAACAAGACCAGATCTCGATAATCGCGAGGAAGCGTCAGACACGTGTTTGTTGGTCACCGAGGACGATACGATTTTACGTAAGGAATATTACTAGCGATCGCATTATCGTACGATAATAACGGATCCCCCTTCTAAGCCGTTTATCACGCCGAAATTTTTTATGTACACGCTGACTCGTTAAATATATTTAACGTTATCCATATCTATAGAGATTTGTAGAGAGAGAAAGATGATATTTTCGTCACGATTTTACGAAATGCCTTCGCTGCAATTGCCCTTACCGACCGACACGCTTATCCGCGTGATTTCGAGTAAAAAAGAATAATAGGCGATAATCATGGATCACTCGAGCCAATCACCCATTGGTGACGTTCCGTCATAGTGGGGACCGCGCTGAAGAAATGCATATACTCTGAAGACCGGAAAGACTTTAAACTCATTCAAATAGTAGACGTTAAAGCGGTCACTTGAATGGTGAGTTTTGATAACGCGTGAAGAGCAAGTATTACATTCTATCGGCTGGAGCGATAACTTCTGTTATAATTACCTCGTGTCCTTGAGCGTTCCATTGTAAGATTAAACGTGAACGTAAGAGAAGCTTATTTAATGTTAGGTTAGGTTAGATTAGATCATCGAATCGGGTCAAATTTTTTGTTGTAAAGAATGATTTCTAAGTTGTAATCTTGTATGAAAAAAATTGTTTGATTTAACTTGATTGCTTTACCTATCGATGTCTGCGATTCTGTTATATGATAATGCATTTACGTGAAATATAGATCGATGTCTTGATGATTGATGCTCTACAATATGTCGGCAACTACTTGTTGCTTCAGCAAAGGCATTTGCTCCATCTATTTCCTTTGTAGAATCTTTTCAAGTTATGTGTGTAATCATAAATGTGTGATATATAAAATTGATTCCTAAAGAGAGTATTTATACACTTATAACAATTGGAAGACTAAATTATAATTAATAAACATCAAGATGTTATTAACAAAATTGTATTCAGATGTATATTATACTGATATGCTATTCTTTTTTTGCAGCAAATATGTCTGGCGAATTTAAACTTGGCAAACTCATCAATGAGGGAAAGACCAAGAAGGTGTATGAACTGCTGGATGACCCTTCATTATGTCTGCTAATAAGCAAGGATCGTATTACAGCTGGAGATGGTGCAAAAGCTCATGATCTAGAGGGAAAAGCTGAGATCAGTACAATGACTACTGTAAAAGTCTTTAAATTGCTCTCAGAAGTTGGGCTTAAAATAGCATTTATTAAAGCTGGTGCTGCAAAATCTTTTGTAGCTAAAAAATGTGACATGATACCTATTGAATGGGTTACAAGAAGAGTAGCAACTGGTAGCTTCCTAAGGAGACATCCAGGTATATCTGAATATATATTCAGACTTATACAAATTTTTTTATGATTTACATAGTCTATTTTAAGATGACCTGTACAGGTCAGAAATTAGATAAATTTTGGTTGAAAAAGCTCCAATGATATCTAATCAATGAAAAATAATAGCATATATACAGCCTGTTATAAAATAATGCAATCAAATAAGTAAAAACTTGCAATTATGACTTATTTTCACTGAAAAGTATTAAATTTATTAGCCAAAAGATCCAAAAGTTTCAGTCCTTTCTCTCTCTCTCTCTCTCTCTCTCTCTCTCTCTCTCTCTCTCTCTCT